TGGTTTCTACTGCACATCCCTCAAAGTGGAAGTACCTCCCCCTCTGCCATCTTGGTTTCTACTGGGCATGCACCCAGCAGAACAAGTTCTCCTGCTGTTTCTAGTCCTCCCTGAGAAATGACCCTTTCTGCCCACTTGAAGATTAAGTCCCAAGGGCAGAGGATGCAGCAGCAGTCTCCTAGAATGTGTGAATGAGTCTATGAATGCTGTAACTTCCTAATAAAGCAAGCTCAGTATCTGATTCAGATTCCCAGTTTATTAAACTTAATATTTGATTTAGCTCCCTAGTTTATTTTGCTTAATGTATGATTCCCTTTGATCCCTTTCTTTATTAATAACTAGGTAACTACCTATGCTAACCAGAGTATACCGGTAGTGCAAGAAAATTTTGGTTTTTTTCAGGAGAGATATAACGTTTTAGCTTTACAGAACTATACCATTGATATTAAAGATTATTTTATTTTAATTCTTATATATTTCCCTGGCTGGTGTGACTCAGTTGGTTGGAGTGTTGTTTCATTCCTGGTTGAGGCACCTACCTAGATTATGGATTTGGTCCTCAGGGTACATATGACAGGCAACCAGTCAATGTTTCTCTCATTAATGTTTCTCTCTTTCATCAATGTTTCTCTCCCTCTCTCTGTCCCTCCCTTCCGTCGTCTCTGAAATTAATAAGGATGTCGTTAGGCGAGGATTTTAAAAAGCCTGTATATATTAACAACTTAATTTAAGCTAGCTTAATACATAAGGTAAAATTCTAAAATAACCAGGACAAAATTATCTTTGTTTTTTAATGAAAATATACCTTTATATATTATATCAGTTTTACTGAAAATATATATTAATTTTATATTAATTAAATGATAATTTTAAGACTTGCCTGTTTTAATTTAATCAGTTTGATTATTTTTGATGATTCTTTTTTATATCATGTGATACTGAAAAACATTTGAATTAGTTTCTGTTATATTTTGTAAATTTCTATAAGTATTTAATTATTAAACCAATTAGCCAGCTTTTTTGTAAGCCAATTTTATTTATTTTTTTCTGGAGATAAGTACACACACATATGCACACACAGACACAGCCAGAGACTTGATATTGATAATTATATTTTAAATAATTTATTTATGGATTTTTGGCCAAGATTGAGGTGTAGGTAGACACACTGTGCCTCCTCACACAATCAAAAGAAGGACGACAACGATTTAAAAGCAAAAAACAACCACAAGTGACAGAAAATCAAACTGTTTGTAAGTCCTACAACCCAGGAGTCGAAGACACACTCATCCAGACTGGTAGGAGGGGTGAAGATGGGCAGCTGGACAGAGAGGAATCATGTCAAGGTGGTGGCTGTAGGACCCAGCTGGCAGACCTACCAAGGCAGCAGATTGTGAAGCTGGGCAGGCAAGACTGCAGCTGGTGGACCCAGTGAGATGGTGGATGGTGGAGTGGGCAGTCCAACATTCGCATGTAGATAAATGGGGAGAAAAAACAAGGGAGTGAAACAGCGCAACCCAGGGCTCCAGCATGGGGAAATAAAGCCTCAAACCACTGATTGAAAACACCTGAGGGGGTTGAGAGAGCAGCAGGAGAAACTCCCAGCCTCACAGGAGAGTTCATTGGAGAGACCCACAGGGTACTACAATGTAGGCAAAACCACCTACCCAGCAATCACCACTGGAAGGGCCCAATTTGCTTCTGGGTAGTGGGGGAAGTGACTGAAATCTGAGGCAGAGCAGAGCAAGTGCTATTGTTCCCTCTCAGACCCCTCCCCCACAAACAGCGTCACAACTATGTGACCTGGGTTACCCCCCCCCCTTGGTGAATACCTAAGGCTCTGATCCTTACTAACAGGCATGTCAAGACAAAAAAAATAGTCCAAATGAAAGAACGGATCCAGAAAAAATACAACTAAGTGACCAAGAGGTAGCCAACCTATCAGATGCACAGTTCAAAACACTGGTAATCAGGATGCTCCACAGAATTGGTTGAACGTGGTTGCAAATTAGATGAAAAAATTAGATGAAGGCTATACTAAATGAAATAAAGGAAAATATACAGTGAACCAATAGTGATGGGAAGGAAACTGGGACTCTAATCAACGATGTAGACCAGAAGGAAGAAAGAAGCATTCAATCTGAAAAAAATAAGAAGTCAACAAAATGAGGAGAGGCTTGGGAACCTCCAGGACATCTTTAAATGTTCCAACCTTTGAATTATAGGGGTACCAGAAGGAGAAGAGGAAAAGCAACAAGTGGAAGAGTTATTTGAACAAATAATAAAAGAGAACTTCCCCAATCTGGCAAAGGAAACAGACTTTCAGGAAGTCCAGGAAGCCCAGAGAGTCCCAAAGAAGTTAGACCCAAGGAGGAACACACCAAGCACATCATCATTACATTACCCAAGATTAAAAATAAGGAGAGAATCTTAAAAGCAGCAAGAGAAAAGGAGACAGTAACCTACAGAAGACTTTCCATCAGACTGTCAGCTGATTTCCCAAAAGAGACCTTGCAGGCAAGAAGGGGCTGGAAAGAAGTATTCCAAGTCATGAAAGGCAAGGACCTACATCCAGCATTGCTCTTTCCAGCAAAGCTTTCATTTAGAATGGAAGGGCAGATAAAGCACTTCTCAGATAAGGTCAAGTTCAAGGAGTTCATCATCACCAAGCCCTTATTATATGAAATGTTAAAGGGACTTACCTAAGAAAAAGAAGATAAAAATATGAACGGTAAAATGACAGCAAGCTTACAATCATTAACAACCACACCTAAAATAAAAAAAGCAAACAATTGCAACAGGAACAGAACCACAAAAATGGAGGTCACATGGAGGGTTATCAACAGGAGAGGGTTAGGGGGAGAGAGGGGGAAAAGATACGGAAAAATAAGTAGCATAGATGGTAAGTAGAAAATAGGAGGAGGGCAAGAATAGTATGGGAAATGTAGAAGCCAAAGAACTTACATATATGACACATGGACATGAACTAAAGGGGAGGAATGTGGGTGGGAGGGGGTGTGCAGGGCAGAGGGGAGTGAAGGGGGGAAAATGGGACAACTATAATAACAATACAATTGTTATTACAATGGGACAATTGTAATAATAAAATATATTTTAAAATAAATAAAATTTATTTTTAGCCATAAGACGTATGATGGGGGGAACAGCAGTAATTTATAATATTGTAATAAGTTTAATTTTTTAGATGGCTATGACTTTTAAGATTTTTCTTTGTCCTTGATAAATGGTTTTTTTAAAGATCTTATTTATTTATTTTAGAGAGGTGAAGGAAGGGAGAAAGAAAAAGAAACAATGTGCAAGAGATACATTGATTGGCTGCCTCTTGCACACCCCCAACCAGTGACATAACCTGCAACCCAGGCATGTGCCTGCCCTGGGCATCAAAACAGTTACCCTTCAGTTCTCAGGCCGGCACTCAGTCCCCTGAACTACACTAGCCAGGGTGATAAATGGGGCAATTGAGGAGGAAGGGATTGTTTAGGCCAGGGAGACTTTTCAAACATCTGTGTTTTTATTTATTTTAAATATGTTTATTGATTTGAGAGACAGGGAAGGGAGATAAGAGAGAGAAACATTGATCATTTTCCTCCTGTGTACACCGCAACTGGGAATCAAACCTAGGTTATGACCTAGGTATGTGCCCCGACTGGGTAATTGAACCCATAACTTTTTGGTGTCCAGGACAATGCCCCAACCAACTGAGCCACCTGGTAGGGCTTATTTTTATCCTTTGTTGACAGGCAGTTGTAGACTGTTTACATTTCTTTCTTTTTTATTATTATTGTTTCAAGGACAGTTGTCTTCATTTTCCCCCCTCTCCCCCTGCCCAATTCCTCCCTGCCTCACCCTCAATCCTACTCTTCTTGGCTTTCTCCATATATCTTTATATATGTTCTTTGATGACCCTTTCCCTATTTTCCCCCATTATCCCTCTCCCCCTGCCCTCTGGTTACTGTCAGTTCTTTATTTCAATTTTTCTGGTTATATTTTGCTTGCTTGTTTGTTTTGTTGATTAGTTCCACTTACAGGTGAGATCATACGGTATTTGTCTTTCACCACAGCTAATTTCACTTAGCATAATGTTCTCCGATCTGTCTGTCTATGCTGTCATAAAGAGTAGGAGATCCTTTCTGCTGTATAGTATTGCACTGTGTAAATGTACCATAGTTTTTTGATCTACTCACTTAGTGATAGGCACTTAGCTTGCTTCAAACACTGGGCTGTTGTAAATAGTGCTCCTATGAACATTGGGGTGCATAGGTTCTTTTGAATTGGTATGTCAGGGTTCTTAGGCTATAATCCCAGCAGTAGAACTGCCAGGTCAAAAGGCAGTTGCATTTTTAGTTTTCTGAGGAAATTCCATACTGTTTTCCACAGTGGCTACACCAGTCTGCATTCCCAGCAACAGTGAACTAGAGTTCTCTTTTCTCCAAAACCTCACCAGCACTTGTTTGTTGATTTATGATGGCCATTCTGGTGTCAATTGAAAGTCTTTGGAAGTTACTGAAAAGACTTAAAAATTTTTGTTAGACTTAATTATGTCAAATTTTTGTTAGACTTAATTATGTCAAATTATGTTAATTATGTCAATTTTATTGAAATACCTGTTAGGTTTCAGGCAGGACAAACAGTAAGAAATCTTTTCTTTTAATATGTTTTATTGATTATCTATTACAATTGTCCCATTTTCCCCCCTTCACTCCCCTCTGCCCTGCACACCCCCTCCCACCCACACTCCCCCTCTTTAGTTCATGTCCATGTGTCATACTTATAAGTTCTTTGACTTCTACATTTCCCATACTGTTTTTGCCCTCTTCCTGTCTATTTTCTACCTACCATCTATGCTACTTAGCCTCCATATCTTTTCCCCCTCTCTCCCCCTCACAGTCCCCTGTTGATAACCCTCCCTGTGATCTCCATTTCTGTAATTCTGTTCCTGTTCTAATTGTTTGCTTAGTTTGCTTTTGCTTTTGTTTTAGGTGTGGTTGTTAATGATTGTGAGCTTGCTGTCCTTTCACTGTTCATATTTCTCGTCTTCTTTTTCTTAGGTAAGTCCCTTTAACATTTCATATAATAAGGGCTTGGTGATGATGAACTCCTTGAACTTGACCTTATCTGAGAAGTGCTTTATCTGCCCTTCCATTCTAAATGAAAGCTTTGCTGGATAGAGCAATGTTGGATGTAGGTCCTTGCCTTTCATGACTTGGAATACTTCTTTCCAGCCCCTTCTTGCCTGCAAGGTCTCTTTTGGGAAATCAGCTGACAGTCTGATGGAAAGTCTTCTGTAGGTTACTGTCTCCTTTTCTCTTGCTGCTTTTAAGATTCTCTCCTTTTTTTAATCTTGGGTAATGTAATGATGATGTGCTTGGTGTGTTCCTCCTTGGGTCCAACTTCTTCAGGACTCTTTGGGCTTCCTGGACTTCCTGGATGTCTTTTCCTTTGCCAGATTGGGGAAGTTCTTTTGAGGGGGTTGAGAGAGCAGTTTTTTGGCATTATTTGGCACTTATTATTTGTTCAAATAACTCTTCCACTTGTTGCTTTTCCTCTTCTCCTTCTGGTACCCCTATAGGTCAGTTGTTAGAATGTTTAAAGATGTCCTAGAGGTACCTAAGCTTCTTCTCATTTTTTTGAATTTTTATTTCTTCATGCTCTTTTGGTTGGATGTTTCTTTTTTCTCTCTGGTCCACATTGTTGATTTGAGTCCCAGTTTCCTTCCCATATCTATTGGTTCCCTGTACATTTTTCTTTATTTCACTTAGCGTAATCTTCATTTTTTTCATCTAATTGCAACCAAATTCAACCAATTTCTCTGAGCATCCGGATTACCAGTGTTTTGAACTGTGCATCTGATAGGTTGGCTACCTCTTGGTCACTTAGTTGTATTTTTTCTGGAGCTTTTTCTGGATCTGTTGTTTCATTTGGGCCTTTTTTTTTTTTTTTTTGTCTTGACAAGCCTGTTATGTAGTGAGAGGCAGAGTCTTAGGTGTTTACCAAGGAGGGGTAACCCAGGTCACATAGTTGTGACGCTGTTTGTGGGGGGAGGAGTTCAAGAGGTAACAATGGCGCTTGCTCTGCTCTCTTACGGTTTTCAGTCACTTCTCCCACTTTCCAGAAGCAAATTGGACCCTTTTGGTGCTGATTCATATGTGGGTTGGCTTTTGTACGTTGTAGGACCCTGTGGGTCTCTCCAATGAACTCTCCTGTGAAGGTGGGAATTTCTCCCACTACCGCCTTAACCCCCACAGGTGTTTTTAACCTGCGGTTTGAGGCCATATTTCCCAGCACTGGAGCTCTGGGCTGTGTGGTCTGTCTTGACTTCCAACTGTTCCTCCTGGTTAATCTGCTCGTGAATGTCAGATTGCCCGCCCTGCTCCACAATCTGCCTTGTGTCCACCAGCCACAGCCTTGCCCGCCCCAGTCCTCCAGCCACCAGTGTATGTGGCCCTCCTCACGCACCTATCTCTGCCCCTCCTACTGGTCTGGATGAGTGTGTCTTCTTTAACTCCTTGGTTGTTGGACTTCCATACAGTTTGATTTTCTGTCAGTTCTGGTTGTTGTTTTTTTTTTAATTGTCCTTCTTTTGGTAGTGCAGGAGGCGCAGCATGTCTACCTACACCTCCATCTTGAGAAATGTTTTTTTAAATATATATTATTGACTATGCTATTATATACATTATATTGATTTTCTCTTGAGAAATCAGCTGATAGTCTTATGGGAAGTCCTTTGTAGGTAACTGTCTCCTTTTCTCTTGCTGCTTCTAGGATTCTCTCTTATTTTTAATCTTGGGTAATGCAATTATCATGTGCCTTGATGTGTTCCTTCTTGGGTCTAACTTCTTTGGGACTCTCTGAGCTTCTTGGACTTCCTGGAAGTCTATTTCTGTTACAGAACACAGCCACACATACAGGATCAAGGGGGGTCATGATATACTATTACCGAAAGGACCCCCTACCGGGTTTCTTATGTCCACTGCCAGATAAGACAGTGATTTGTGAAAAGGAAAGGAAATGTTTATTTAAAGCTATACAGACTTAAAGTAGTGACCTAATGTCTTCATTAAGATCTCAAAGTCCTTTTGGATACCCACAGACACCCATAGTGCTTCCTTATCCCCCCTGCCCTAATTTGGGGTGCTGTAACTCCGGAAAAGAAGCACACATATGTGTTTCAAGCTGCTGGCACCGTCAGCTGTGTTGCTGTCCAGGCCGGATCTCTGATTAATCCAAAGCCATGTGGAACCTTCTCATGGCCTACTGGCAAGAGTTTTTTCACCCTTCTTTTAGGCAGTCTCTCCTGCTTCCCAGGCCATGCTACCATAGGAAGCACCCCAAAGCCATGTGGTCCTCTTCTGCAAAAGTTGAAGGGATCCCCACTCTGGTCAAAACCACATGGTTCTCTCCACCAGAACTGTGGGGGGTCTGCACTCTGGCAAAACCGCATGGATCTCCCTGGGAAAAGTGCAGGGAGAGGGGGCATTGCCACTGTGCCAAAGCCGAGTTGCAGTTCTCTGCTGATGTCGCATGGTGATTCTCTCTACCCCAGCTGTGGGCATCCCCACTCTTGCCAAAACCATGTGGCTCTCCCCCTGCAGTGCCACAGCCGTGTGGTTTTCTCCCCTACCAAAGCTGCATGTGGCTCGCTCTCACATAAGCTGCGGGGAGGGAGTCCCCACTCTGGCAAAGCCGTGTGGTACTCTCACATGGCTGCAAGGGTCTCCACTCTGCCAGAAGTGTATGTCTCTCTTTCAAAGCTTAATGTGGTTCTCTCCACACTGCCACAACTGCGTGGTCATCTCTCCACCTAAGCTGCAGGGAGGGGGGTCCACACTCTGGCAAAACCATGTGGAGCTCCCCTCTCCTTCAAAGCTACAGGGCAGGGGGTGGCATTCGCCACTCTGCTAGAGCCAAATGGCTCCCCCTCCAATGGCTGCTGTGTCTGGATCTAAATCCCCATGCCAGTCTTCCTCTACAGCCCCGTTTCCAACTCCTCCCACAATTGGCTACACTTGCCAGCACTCCCATATCCTTCCAGCTTTACTGGGCTGCCATTGTGAGTCTGGGCAGGTGTGGCCCCATGGCCTGGAGCCAATCTTGTCCAAGCTCTCACATATGCACTGTAAACAGGGAGTTGCCTCCCAGTTACATCTTGGGTGGAAATCACTCCTCCCTGGCTCAAAGCATGGCCACAGCTATTCAACATATCTATGAAACCAGTTAAAATTTATAGATATATTAAATGACCCTGCCACAGGTTAGCTGCAAAGCCGTTGCTATGCAAAACTGTTCTCAATGGCCCTGCTTCATTTCTCCCTTCCCCCAACTCACACCTGAGTGGGGGAAGGGATGAAGACATCTTATATGTCTTTCTAATATTTCCTAGATACCTTGAGTTCTGGACCCCATTGCAAATCCTTTTTCGGGGCCCCCCTCTTGGCTGCACCCTGTAACATTTCCTTCGCCAGACTGGGGAAGTTCTCCTTTATTATATGTTCAAATAGCTTTTCTACTTGTTGCTTTTCCTCTTCTCCTGGTACCCCTATAATTCGAATGTTGGAACATTTAAAGATGTCCTGGAGGTTCCTAAGCCTCTCCTCATTTTGTTGAATTCTTGTTTCTTCATTTTTTTCAGATTGGATGCTTCTTTCTTCCTTCTGGTCCACACAGTTGATTTAGAGTCCCAGTTTCCTTCCCATCACTATTAGTTCACTGTATATTTTCCTTTATTTCACTTAGCATAGCCTTCATCTAATTTTTTCATCTAATTTGCAACCAAATTCAACCAATTCTGTGAGCATCCTAATTACCAGTGTTTTGAACTGTGCATTTGATAGGTTGGCTACCTCTTCATCACTTACTTGTATTTTTTTCTGGAGCTTTGATTTGTTCTTTCATTCGCACCATTTTCTTTTTTTGTATTGATGCACCTGTTACATTTTGAGGGGTGGAGCCTTAGGTATTCGCCCAGGCGGGCAACAAGAAATCTTAAAGCACCTATTCAGATGGCCAGAAGGCTTTCTTGGGATTTATTTAGAAATTGTCTTTTGGAAACTTTTGTTTATCAATTAAAGTATGTATTTTATTGTCCCTGAGAGTTTGGATTTTTATCTTTATGAAATTTTTTGTAACATAACAGAGACAAGAAAAGGAAACAAAAGCATGCAAAATTAAATAAGTACTTTGCTTTTGAAAATGCTGGAAAGATGCAACTGTACTGCAAACCTTTGGGTCCGTACAATAACAAACAGGCTTGTAGCCAATAACTGGGGAATGTTGAGAGAGAGAGAGAGAGAGAGAGGAAGAAAGAGAAACATCAACATGAAAGAGAAACATAGATTGGCTGCCTTCTCGTACGTAACTCAATTAGGAATTTAACCTGCAACCTGGGTTCACAGAAAATTATGCCTCAGCATGGGTTGTACCTGGAGCCCTTGCAGATACTGATTTACATGATGAGATTTGGCACTTTTGAGCTGGTAAGATTTGGTTGAGATTCTGGTGAGTTGGTGCTGTGATAGATTAAGGCATTTGGAGGAGACTTCCAGCCAAGATGGAAATGTACGTGGAAACACTGTGCCTCCTCGCACAACCAAGTTTAAAGAAAACAAAGTTTTAGTAACAAAAACAAAACCAAAATACAGAAAATTGAACTGTACAGAAGTCTGACAACAATGAACCATTCATCCAGACCAGTAAGAGGGGTGGAGTCAGTGGTGGAGCGGGGTTGGGCAGGAAAGATTGGTGGACCGACCCAGGAATGCAGGCGGTGGTTGGCAGATCCCAGGTGTGGGGTGGCAACAGGCAGACCCAGTGAGGGCGCAGGGCAGCTGGCTCATTGCGGTCACACTTTCGAGCACAGATAAACCAAGTGAAGGAGCGAGCAGTGAGACAGATCACTCAGGCTAGGGCCCCAGGGATGGGAATTAGAGCCTGAAAGCACTAATTGGAAAGACTTTTGGGCTCAAGGTGCTGGGAGAGTTCGTTGGAGAGACCCATGGGGTACTGGAGGGTACACAAGGCCACACACCCAAGAACCAGCACCAGAAGGGCCCAATTTGATTGTGGGAAGTGGAAGAGAGGACAGAAACGAGAGAGAGCAGAACAAACGCCATTGCCTCTCTCTGACCCCGCCCCCACATACAGACAGCATCACAACCCAGCAACTGGGTTGCCCCGCCCTGGTGAACACCTAAGGCTCCGCCCCTCATACTTAACAGGTGCGAACAGACCAAAACATTATGGCTCAAGAACAGCTCAAAGCCCCAGAACCAATAATTCTAAGCGACCAAGAGACAACCAAACTTTCAGATGCACAGTTCAAAACATTGGTGATCAGGATGCTCACAGAACTGGTTGATTTTAGTCACAAATTAGAGGAACAAATGAAGGCTACACTAAGTGTAATGAAGGGCAATGCACAGAAAACCAATAGTGATGGAAAGGAAACTCGAACTCAGATCAAGGGAGTGAGTGGACCAGAAGGAAGATAAAAATGACCAAACAGAAAAGAATGAAGAAACAAGAATTCAAAAAAATGAGGAGAGGCTTACGAACCTTCAGGACATATTTAAACATTCCGACATCCGAATTATAGGGGTACCAGAAGGGGAAGAGGAACAACCACAAGTGGAAAACTTATTTGAACAAATAATAAAGGAGAACCTCCCCAATCTGGCAAAGGAAATACACTTCCAGGAAATCCAGGAAGCTCACAGGGTCCCAAAGAAGTTGGACCCAAGAAGGAACACACCAAGGCACATTATAATTACATTAGCCAAGATTAAAATGAAGGAGAGAATCCTAGAAGCAGCAAGAGATAAGGGGACAGTCACCTACAAAGGACTTCCCATCAGACTGTCAGCTGATTTCTCAGAAGAGACCTTACAGGCAAGAAGGGGCTGGAAAGAAGTATTCCAAGTCATGAAATCCAAAGACCTACAACCAAGATTGCTCTATCCAGCAAAGCTTTCATTTAGAATGGAAGGACAGATAAAGTGCTTCTCAGATAAGATCAAATTCAAGGAGTTCATCATCACCAAGCCCTTATTATATGAAATGTTAAAGGGACTTACCTAAGAAAAAGAAGATAAAAAATATGAACAGTGAAAAGACAGCAAACTCACAGTTATTAAGAACCACACCCAAAACAAAAGCAAACTAAGCAGACAGCTAGATCAGGAGAGGAACCATAGAAATGGAGATCACAAGGAGGGTTAGCAACGGGAGTGGGAGGAGGAGAAGGGGGAGAAGGTACAGAGAACAAGTAGCATAGACGGTAGGTAGAAAATAGACGGGTGACTGCAAGAGTAGTATGGGAAATATAGAATCTAAGAACTTGTGACACATGGACATAAACGAAAGGGGAGAATGATGGAGGAGGGGTGTGCAGGGTGGAGGGGAATAAGGGGGGGGGGAATAAGTACTTACCCATCAAAGAGCCTCCTATAGAGCTGTTCATCACCCCCAGGGCACTTGTTACAAGTGGGGGCTGTGAAAATTCCCTCCTGAGAAAAAATGTTTCCCATGCAGTGGTAAACTCCTAAGGCATCTCCTCACTTGCTGGTACCTAGCAGTCACTCCCCCCACCCCAGGAGAAACCCCTCCTGATCTCAAATAAAGGCACCTCAACAACAACAAAAAAAGAAAAGAAAAGCAGGGATGTTTGATCTAAGAGGGCTTCACAGTCAAAGGAGACAGCAGTTCATGGGAATGGTGACCACAAAAGAGGCTCTGCAGTTAGCATAGCAGGTTCAAGGGAGCATTGGACCATGCAGATGTCACCACTTTAAATCCTATTTACTACACCAGAGATGTTAATTTAAAAATAAAAAGGCCTCTTGAAGTTAGAAGCAACAAGTTGTTTGAGTTCAATAAAAACATTTTTGGGGCTTTTGCCTTAAATAATGATTCCCATTCCCAAATAGCTTTTCTTATTGATCTCAAAGAAACACTTTGTTGTCTCCCAATTCAGAAAGCCATTTTATTTTTAGGTTAACACCGCTATGTTTCCTTCTACTATTTATATGGTTTCTATTTTTTTTTTTAAGAGTAAACTCAATTTGGAGTTGTTTGGGGTGTGTGATGGCATAATGTATGGATCCACTTTTATCTTTTATCTTACCCTAATGTTATTTATTGCAAAAACTATTCTTATCCTCTCTGAGATACCACCTTTATAATAAATTTAATTGTCATATAAACTCCACTCTACTTCTGGCCTTTCTGTTCCATTGGTCTATCTCTAGAAATCAATATTTATTCATCAAACAACCCATTATGCTAAATTTTTGTGACAATAACTAAAGAAAAAGGCATTGTTTCTGTGTTTCAGGAGACATAGGAGCAAGAAAGCAAACAGGTCAACAAATAAGTAAATGAAAATGTAATTATAACTGATAAGTTACAAGATGTGAGAGAGAAGCAAGGTGTATGCCTAGGGTTATCAGGCTGAGAGTTTTTTTGGAAGTGCATGTTTTAATATGAGGCCAGAAGGATGAGAAGAGCAGCCATACAAAGAGTCCAGGATAGGATTCCTGATAAATGGAAGGACAAGATGGAAAGAACCTGAGGTCTAAGATGGGAAAGACCTAGGGTTAGTCTAGATGCTTGAAGGAAGCCTGTGGTTTGGGTACATAGAAGGTGGGGAGGGGAGTGTTCAATATGAAGATGCACTGTCCTTGGTTGAGACAGAGTGACAGCAATGAAAATCAGTGACCTGCTTTGCCAGGAGCCCATGAACATGTGTTTAGAATTAGTGCAGTGGGAAGGCTGTGAAAAGTTTAAGCAGAGATTTTAATTTTAAGTGGCATCAGCAATGTGTTAGACTTAAAAATATAAGTACCTTATTCATATGAAATTCCCAGAATGGGCAAATTTATAAAGACAGAATTAGTGGTTCCTTACCATTAGTGATTTTCAGGGGCCAGAGGAATAGGGAGTGACTGTTCAGTGAGCACAGGATTTCTATCTGGGGTGATGAGAATTTTCCACAACTAGATAGTGGAGATGGTTGCATGATGACATTAGGAATGTATTGCAAACCATTGAATTGTTTTAAATGGTTAAATGGAAATTTTTTATGTTATATGAATTTTACATATAACTTTTAAAATATATAGAGAGGCAGACATGTATATATACATGGGCACATGCACACACACACCTTAGCCTTACTCCTGGAGATTTTGATTCAGTCTGGGGTGGTTCTTGGACATTGGTATTGTTAACAGGCTTCTAGGATAATTCTGATTCCTATCAAAATTGAGAACCCCTGGCTTAATGTGTTTTCATGCCCTCTGGCACTATATAAGCTCTCATATTTGTGCTTTTTAGAAATTGCACAGTGATATCTGAGGCTTATATTGTCACCAGACCAGTTCCATTCCAGGGGCTGGTATTTTGGGACCTCCAGGCTCTTGACTCACACAGGAAAGAATTCAGGAACAAGTTCCAGTCAGAGTGAGTGAGAGCAAGAACAAATTTTATTCAGGTAGAGACAAATAGGATTCCTGGAGACAGGATGAGTGGTTGAGTGTCCCGTTCCCTGGCTGCAAGTCTCACAAGGCATTGCTGTGAAAAAGTGAAAGTATACATGCATGTGGACACCGGTGAACTCCTAAATGAGTTGCATGCTAGGTCAGTCAGTCCTTAGGATTTCGTATGTTTCCAAGGGTAGATTATTTCTGGACTTTGTGGCACCAAGTTCTGACTCCTGGTTGGGAGGGACCTCGTCCCTAATGTAGTTCTTCTGAAAGGGTCATGGCATTCTTCCCTTTAGCCCCCCTTCTACTTGTGGTGTCAGTTGTCATAATGGGTCTTTCTCTGGTCCGTTTTTCCTTCATCTTGGATTGATCTGGCTTTAGCTAGTTTTTGTCATTGTTGACTTCTGCAACCACCACAGCAGGAGTTGCCTGCCATTAACTGTTTCCCTATGATCATGGATGGAGCCTGGGACTCTGGTGAGAGGACCTAGTACTGTGGGCCTGTGATATCTACTCCTACTTCCTCATTCCACTTAGGGAGTTTTCCCTAACTGCTTTCTATCTTGCCTCAGTATAAGCCATTCACTCTTTATGGTCATTATTTTCATTTTTTCTCTCTAGTCTACTATAGCATTATTTCTTATTTCTCTTAGAAAAGTAGAACACCTTGTGTTTATATATATTTTTTATTTTTCAGACTTGGAGTCCAGATGTGAGAAATTTCCACATAAAGATATTTTAGGAGTAAAGGCATTCAGTTGGGAGCTAATGGAAAGCCTTAAATGCTGTGATTTTGAGAGCACTGATTTTAAAGAAGACTGGGAATACAAACTTCAATTTGAAAAACAAGTAAATAAGGAATGTTATTTCAAGCAAGTGGAAATTACATCTGAAAACATACCTACATTTGAGCATCATACATCCCTCACTGTACATCAGAGCAATGAGATTGGCAAGAAACTAATTGAATGTAATGAATGTGGGAAAGCATTTAGCCGTGGCTCACACCTTATGCAACATCAGAAAACTCACACTGGTGAAAAACCCTTTGAATGTAAGGAATGTGGGAAGGCCTTTAGTCGAGCCTCACACCTTGTTCAACATCAGAGAATTCATACAGGTGAGAAACCTTATGACTGTAAGGAATGTGGGAAGGCCTTTGGTCGTTCTTCAGAACTTATTCTACATCAGAGACTTCATACAGGTGTCAAACCCTATGAATGTAAACAATGTGGAAAAACCTTTAGACAGCATTCACAACTCATTCTGCATCAAAGAACTCATACGGGTGAAAAACCTTATGTATGTAAAGATTGTGGGAAGGCTTTTATTCGTGGCTCACAACTTACTGTTCATCGGAGAATTCATACAGGTGCTAGACCCTATCAGTGTAAAGAGTGTGGGAAGGCCTTTAGACAGCATTCACAACTTACTGTGCATCAGAGAATTCATACTGGTGAGAAACCCTATGAATGTAAGGAATGTGGAAAAGGCTTTATTCATAGCTCAGAAGTTACTCGACATCAAAGAATTCATTCTGGGGAGAAACCTTATGAATGTAAGGAATGTGGAAAGGCCTTTAGACAGCATGCACAGCTTACTCGACATCAGAGAGTTCATACTGGTGACAGACCCTATGAATGTAAGGACTGTGGGAAGGCCTTTAGTCGTAGTTCATACCTTATTCAACATCAAAGAATTCATACAGGTGACAAACCCTATGAATGTAAGGAATGTGGAAAAGCCTTTATTCGTGTTTCACAACTGACTCATCATCAGCGAATTCATACTTGTGAGAAACCCTATCAATGTCGGGAATGTGGAATGGCCTTTATTCGTAGTTCACAACTTACTGAACATCAGAGAATTCATCCTGGTATCAAACCTTATGAATGTAGAGAATGTGGGCAGGCCTTTATTCTTGGTTCACAGCTCATTGAACACTACAGAATCCATACTGGTTAGAAAGCCTTGATTCCTATCAAAAGGGATGTAGGGATGTAGGAAAACCTTTATATGGAGTTTACACCTGACTTAATATTAGATAAAGCCTAATGTAGTATATCAGAAAACCTGCATTTGTCATATCCATTGTGGAACATCAGGCATCTCATGCCAGGAGAAAATTTAATAAATGTGGGAATTCTTTTTGCCTCACACTCACTGTTTACTATGTATCAGAGAAATTATGGTGAAAAAATACTAATGAATGTAAAACATCTCTGTTACTACTCAGAATATATTAAACTTATGAGAATTCCTAATAGAAAATGAATCTATTAAAATAGTTTGTGAATGTGCCTTTTGCCATGGCATATACCTTAACTTAATATTAGTTCATTTCTACCAGTTACTGACTGTATAGCATTGGGCCAATTATGCTGTCTCTCTTTTCCTCAGTTTACTTATTTTTAAGCCGTGATAATAATACCTACCTAATAGAGTTTTTGTGAGGACTGTCAGGTATTTTATATAAAGCCTGTGCTGAATAAATGGGTATTAGCTATTAATCATTAATAAATAGTGTTACCATTAAGTAGGGCCTTGCGAATGTGTCAAATATCAGAATGCCCTTATAACCACTTGTGATAATTCATTCTGAAAACCAGTAGTAAAGTATGTGACAAGTATTTCATCCAAAGGTTAGAAATTCAGATTAGTCCTGGGTACCTATAGCTATCTGTTCACAAAAGCCAAGTCAATAAAACATTGTCTTCTCTGTCTTTTAGCTGGAAAAAAAAATCAGAAGATTAGAGGTTAACAGAAAAGTAGCCAAAAGAAATCTGCCATTTATAAAAACCAAGTATACCTTGATTTCAAGAAAAACCAAACTAAAATTACAAACTAGAAATGAATGACAGTAAATTCTACATATCAAAACCAGTTCATTGTAGCCAAAGCTGTATTGTCAGAAGCCAAGGATAGAAGGTAGGGGTTCTTCAAATATTGATCTTCAACTCCCTTCAAGTCATTGCAAGTCACATACCAAGCACATTGAATGAATGGTCAACTCTAAAAGTTAGGAAAAAATTACCACCTAAAACCCAAGACAACAGAAAGAATAATTATTGAAAATAAAAGAAAAAAATTAGTAGAGAATAGTAGACTTAACCTAGAGGTTGTTTATTTAATAAGATATATAAGATGATTGACAAGTCTAATCTAGAAACAACACATTTACTATTATGAATGAGGAAGGGCAGATTCTTTTTAAGTAGTTCCTATGCATGACTTTATTCTAATATATTTGAAATCTACAGAGAATGGATTTTTACAAAAATATCAAAATTGGCTCAAGAAGATGTAGAATACCTGAATAAATTAGTGATTGTAAAAGGACATAAAAAGTCATCAAAGTTTCTACCCCTTCAGAGAAAGTAGTTTCACCTACAAAAACAAAGGATTATCTGCCAGTTCTCTTTCAAGGCTAAATAAAATTATGATTTAAAAAAAAAAACTTGACAAGGATAGCTCCCCAAAAACAAATTGTATATGGTTATCATTTGTAAAGATTAATATTAATAAAATTTCTCCTAATTTAATCCAGTCTATTCAAATGAAAAAGTAATTTTAGATGGAATATCTAGGATTTCACCTGTTCTGAAGTATGTCTTTAGAATTTTGGTATTGTAGCTGTAGGTGATGACAATGATGGGGCAAAGAGCATTGATCCAACCCCAATGACATTTGGATCAGGGCTTGTGAACCTGAGAGATTTTAAGAAATAGGTCCCCTCAGCCCTTGGGGCAGCCAAGTGTTGGGGGCAGGGGGCCTGTTGCATTCCAAATATCATTCACCTCAGAAATCCTGCATGTTGCATAAAAACATATGCATGTGCCACTGCCTACAAAGGATTAGAAAGCAGTGTTCTGCATGCCACTTTTCTTTAAGTGGTTTAATGATTAAGATGTACAGTTGGAGGGACTCGATGCTATGACATTAAAAAGTCATACAGGAATAGTTAATACACATGCACAAGACAAAATTTTTAAAGTTATACAAATTAGTATACAGACATAAATCTCCATGCTATCTGTGCCCCCTTTTCAGCCCATTAACTACTATTTAGTAATAGCTGGTATCAAGGTCTTGTGTATACTTCCTCACTTTTATGTTTGCATAAGGTTATACATAACACTAAGAACTTACAAAAATGGTAGCTAATCTCTCTATATATACATTGCTATTTTTACTTATCTATACACCACGAAGATTAGACCACATCAGTACATACATAACCCTTATTTTTAACAGCTGCATAGTATTTCATCATGTTTGGTTTCATTAATTGAAACCTTATTAATTTTATCTTTATTATTTTTGCTCTTTTAAACAATACTGTAATAAATGTCTGCACATAAATCTTTAGAAGTGGAAGTACCGATCAAAATGTGTACACTTTGTGAAAATGTAAACATATATAAAAATAACACAGAATATTATAATGTACCCCAAAGTCCCCATCACCAGCTTCAGTAATTATCAACTCATGGCCAGTCTTTTTAAAAAGTTTTTTTTTTTTTTTATTTTTAGAGGGGAAGGGAAGGAAAAAGAAAGGGAGAGAAACACTCATCATTTGCCTCTCGTACACTCCCAGCCTGAAACAGAACCTCCAACCCATCCATGCATGTGCCCTGACCAGGAATTGAACATTTCAGTTTGTGAGATAACAGCCAGCCCACTGAGCCACACCAGTCAGGGCATTGCCAGTCTAGTTTTATGTGTAATCTTACTCTTGCCATCTCCATGTTACAATATTTTTTAAGTAAATCCCAGATATATTATTTCATCCATAACTCTCAGTATGCATCTCTAAATACTATATCACAACTTTAGAAAAGATTTTCAAGTCCTTAAAAAAGTTGACAATACTGCCTTAATGTCATTATATATATGATAGTGTTTTCTAATTATTTTATGTGTCAATTTAAAAAAACAATGTAAAAAAATTTGAATTACATAAAGTAAAAATAAAAAAACAATGTCCACAAATTACAGTTGATTGTCATGTCTCTTAAAGTCTCAATCTAGCATTCTCCCTTGTCCTTTTTTTCTTGCAATGTATTTTTTTGAAGAAAGTTGTTTGCCTTGTAGAATTTCCAGAGCCTGCTTTTCATTGGCTGCATCCTCGTGGTGTAGTTTAACATGGCCCTCTATCCTTAGTGTTTCCTATTAATTGGTAGTTGGTATCTAGAAGCTTAATCACACTGAGATTAAATTTTTTTGTTAAGACCACTTACAGGTGATTAATATTAAAAGGCACAACATTTAGGTGTCTTTATGACTTAGCAGCCACTGATACTCAATTTATAAATCCAATCATTAGGGATTGCAAAATGATATCCTATTATTTATTCTTCTTTGTTAGCTAGAATATTTATGAAGAAAAACCCCTTCAACTATTATTTGGTTACCCATGTTACAGTAAGGAAAGGCAAGATAATGCTTCTTTCTTACTTTATTTCTTGATTTCTTTATTAATTTTCAAAATAATGAGTTGGTTCCCTAGCATTTTGCATGGTAATCAGTGAGTTGGGTGAGGGGGTGAAGTATACTTAATATATTTAAATCCATTTAACCTTACTGATATTCAAATTGTTCCATGTGTGGTGTATGGATGCCTCTTTCATCATTTGGCTCCTATATCCTTTTGAGATGACCACACTAGTCTTTAAAGTTTATTATTATTATTGATTTGAGAGAGAGAAATCAATTTGTTGTTTTACTTACTTATGCATTATCTGGTTGCTTCTCATATGTGCTCTTACCAGAGATCAAACCTGCAATCTTGGCATATCAGGGCAACGCTCAAAGCAACTGAGCTACCTGGCCAGGGCTAACGTAGCCTTTTATTGCTTGCTACTGGTCGCCACAAAATGTGCCACATTCATCTTGTTCATTTCCTGCCTTTCACCTTGAAGTAACCATTTCCAAGGAGTTCTCTTTATTTTTGATATTTTGGTACTTTCCAAATTGTATTTGGAAACTACATTGTATTGCTAAGAGTGCAATCTCACAGTCCTGGTTGGACATTTTTTATAAATATATACATTTTAAGCTATTTTATACACATTGCTCAAGTGCCTTCAAGAAGATTATGTATCTACCTGCAGTAAAAGATCCCAAAGCACCACATTTTTCTAACCCTGGAGGGAACATTTATTTTGAACATAGACTATTTAATAAATGAAAATGGAAAAGTCATTTTTGTTTTCACTTCCATTCCTTTGATTGTGATTAATGTAGAGATGACCATTTGTTTACCTATTTATTGACCAATGGCATTACATTTAGCATGGGCCTAAAACATAGTAGGTACTCAATAAATATTTTTCAATTGAATAAATTGTACATAGCCTTTGTTCACTTAATATTGGGCTAGTCATATTTTTCTTATTAAAATAACTTTTTCAGAGGAATAAATATGTATTAGATTCCTAGCACAATGTCTGAAACTTACAAACTACTAGTTCCCTATTTTCTTATTTGCATACATTGTCATTTGTCCCTTTTTTCTACTTTAACAGATAAAGAAATTGAGAGTCAAAGAGATTAAGTAGCTTGTCTAAAACTTCTTAAGTGGAGAATCCTAATTTCAAGAACAAGGCAGCAGAGGGTAGAGTGTCATATATACAGCTTTCAGAATGTATGACTGAAAACAATCTATCAATTTATAAAAGAAAAATGCAGTCCTAGTGGCAAAGATATGAAAGAACTTAATCTTTTTTTATATATATTTGCTTTGTCTTTATGAAAAGTAAAAATGTTCAAATAAAAGAATACAGAGAACATAGAAAAATTAAAGAAAAACATTTTTATTTCAATGTTTCTGGTTATATTTTGCTTGCTTGTTTGTTTTATTGATTAGGTTCCACTTACAGAGAAGATCACATGGTATTTGTCTTTCACTACCTGGCTTATTTCATTTAGCATGATACTCTCAGTTCCATCCATGCTGTCATGAAGGGTAGGAGCTCCTTTTTTTTCTGATGCATAGTATTCTGTTGTATAAATGTACCATAGTTTTTCATCCACTCATTTACTGATAGGCACTTAGGTTGCTTCCAGCACTTGGTTGTTGTAAATTGCGCTGCTATGATCATTGGGGTGCACAGGTTCTTTTGAATTGGTGTTTATTGTACTTGAACAACAATAAAATAAATAAATAAAAACATTTAGTGTTTTATGAACACACCAACCACAAGTGTGTTCATCTCTTCAATGTCTTTCTAACTTCTTTGGTTTTAAAAATATATACTTTATTATAGAAATCTTCAAAAATATACAAAAGTAGGAATATAACATCTGTAAATATTTCAGTAGTTATCTCTAAAAGATGCTTTTTAATTGAATTTATTGGGGTGACATTGGTTCACAAAACCATACAGGTTTCAAGTGTACAGCTCAAAACCTGCACACTGCATCATGCATCCATCACCCCAAACAAAGTCTTTCCATCCCCATTTTACTCCCATATGCCTACCTCCACCTACCCTCCCCTACCTCCTTTTCCCTCTGGCTACCTTTCACCTTCTGTTGTCTGTGTCTTTGTGATATACACGGTGGGTTTTGTTGGTTTTTTTTTTCTCAATCATTTCACTTCATCCACTTCTGGGATGAAGTGAAAATATATTCACTTCTGGGAATATATCTTCAGAATTCTAAAGATATTTTCTTTATCATTTTTTATTGTTCAAATATAATTGTCTCCATTTCCCCACCGTCACTTTCCCCCGTCTAACCCCCACCTCCAATCCTCACTCCTACCCACCTTAGCTTTGTCCATTGGTCCTTTATACATGTTCCTTGATGACCCTTGCCCTTCTTTCCCCCATTATCTCCCTCCCCTCTCCCCTCTGGTTACTGTCAGTTTGTTCTTTATTTCAATGGCTCTGGTTATATTTTGCTTGATTGTTTGTTCATCCAGTCCCCCAAAACCCTCCCCTCTGACAGTTGTCAGCCTCTCCCCTGTGTCCATGCCTGTTTCTATTTTGTTCATCAGTTTATTTTAATCATTACATTCCACATATAAGTTAAATCATATGGTATTTGTCTTTTTCTGAATGGCTTATTTCACTTAGCATAATCATTGCCAGGTCCATCGTCCTGTCACAAAGGGTAAGATTTCACTTTTATGGCCAAGTAGTAGTCCATTGTGTAAATGTACCACAGCTTTTTTATACACTCATTTACTGATGAGCACTTGTACTGTTTCCAGGTCTTGGCTGTTGTAAATAACACACAAGAATAAACTCAGTGGATAAGAGACTTAAATGTAAGTCAAAAATCATAGAAGAAAACATATGCAGCAAAATTCCAGACATCTCTTAGAGCAATATTTTAGCTGATACATCTCCTAGAGCAAGGAAAACAAAGGGGAAAACAGGAGTACTTCATGAAACTACAAAACATTTGCACAGCAAAAGAAATGATCAACAAAATGCAAAGGAAACCCACTGCATGGGAGAACATATTTGCCATGTCCGGAAAGGGGTTAATTTCCAAAACATATAAACAACTTACACAACTCAATACCAGGAAGACAACATAATCAATATGGGCAAAGGACCTGAACAGGCACTTCTCCAAAGAGGACATACGGATGATCAATAGACATATTTTAACAAATGCTCAACTCCACGAATTGTCAGAAAAATGCAAATTAAAACCACAATGAGATACCACTTCTAGCCTGTCAGAATGGCCATCATCAATAAATCAACAAGCACTGGTGAGGATATGGAGGAAAGGGAACCCTCATGCACTGTTGGTGGGAATGAAGATTGGTGCAGCCACTGTGGAAAACAGTATGAAGCTTCTTCAAAAAAATTGAAATTGGAACTGCCTTTTGACCCAGCAATACCACTTCTGGGAATATATCCTTAGAAATTTAAAGATACTTTTTTTAATCATTTTTTATTGTTGTTCAAATATAATTGTCTTCATTTCCCCACCACCACTTTCCTCTGTCCCACTCACTCCCACCTCCCACCCTCAATCCTACCCACCTTTAGCTTTGTCCATTGGTCCTTTATACATGTTCCTTGATGACCCTTGCCCTTCTTTGCTCCATTAGCTCCCTCCCTCTCCTCTCTGGTTGCTGTTCATTTGTTCTTTATTTCAATGATTCCAGTTATATTATATGCTTGATTGTTTTGTTGATTAGGTTCCACTTATAGGTGAGATCATACAGTATTTATCTTTTACCACCTGGCTGAAATTGAAGCAAGAAAGATACTTTTTTAAAAAAGGGAACCCTGACTGGTGTAGCTCAGTGGATTGAGCACAGGCCTGCAAACCAAAGGGTTGACTGCTTGATTCCCAGTCAGGGCACATGCCTGAGTTGCAGGCCAGGTCCCCAGTAGGGGGGCAAACAAGAAGCAAACACACATTGATGACTCTCTCTCTCTCCCTTCTCCCTCTCTAAAAATAAATAAAATATTTTAAAGTAAGAATTTATAATCTTGAGCCTTTAATCGAAAGGGAGAACAATAAAATTTTCTACCAAAATATGGTGTGATGCTGATTCTCATTTTGATTGCAGAGAAAGTTGTCTCATGTGTATTAGGAGAATTGGGAGTTTAGGAAAAGGTTTTTCTAGGAGTATTTTTCCCCAAAGTTCTCTCTTTTCAAAAAAAATACTTTCAGGTGCAATTGTGAAATGTAAAGGAATTTTTGTATTAAACAAAATTGACTAAATTAGTATAACTTTACCATAGTTCTAAATTATTGATGTATTGAGAATTGTATCTGCTCCTAGAAGGCAGTCAGATAGTTGTTGAGTGAGTGAGTTAAAAATTAGACAAATGATAGAATATTTTTATGGTGAGAAGACATAGGTGGGGAAGCTTCCTTTTACCAAAAAAAATAGATATCAGATAGAAAATTCACACTTAGAAGTCACCATGCCTTAAATTCTAGCTGAAGAAGAATTTCACAAGTTACTCTGAGGAATTCACATGTTTTAACTTTGGACATAATGTTTGATATCTTGTTAGACTCATAAGTAACATTAATAATGCAACAGCTTGCTGTACTACTCCACCTAGCTATCCCTCAGGCATTTCAAGTGTAATATCCAAAGCCATATTTTAAACTCCACTCTCCCTACCTTACAGCTACAAAATCATTTTTATTTCATATTGCTAATATATCTTGTTTAATGATATTACAGTCTGCCTGCCATGTCTCCCACACCAGAAATATGTCAACTAAGACTTCTGATACCTTATCTCCCACTTATAAAATACTAGCTTTAGAATCAGACCTGGATTCTTATCACAAGATAGGTGATGATAACCTAGGCTTCTAAGCTTTCTTTAGTTGTGGGCTCATAACAGTACCTGATGGAGGTTCCAGCCAAGATGGGAAAGTAGGTAGAAATTCTTTGCCTCCTCAAACAACCAAAAGAAGGATAAGAACCAATTAGAAGCTAAACTAATTGAAATGAAGGAAAATGCACAGGAAACCAATAGTAATGGAAAGGAAACTGGGACTCAAATCAAAGGAGTGGACCAGAAGGAGGAAAAAAATGACCAAACAGAAAAGGATGAAGAAACAAGAATTCAAAAAATTAGGAGAGGCATAGGAACCTCCAGGTCATCTTTAAACGTTCCAACATCCAAATTATAGGGGTACCAGAAGGGGAAGAGGAACAGCCACCAGTGGAAAACTTATTTGAACAAATAATTAAGGAGAACTTCCCCAATCTGGCAAAGGAAATAGACTTCCAGGAAATCCAGGAAGCTCAGAGAGTCCCAAAGAAATTGGACCCAAGAAGGAATACACCGAGGCACATCAAAATTACATTAGCCAAAATTAAAATGAAGGAGAGAATCCTAGAAGCAGCAAGAGATAAGGGGACAGTCACTTAGAAAGGAGTTCCCATCAGACTGTCCATGGATTTCTCAAAAGAGACCTTACAGGCAAGAAGGGACTGGAAAGAAGTATTCCAAGTCATGAAATCCAAAGACCTACAACCAAGATTACTCTATCCAGCAAAACTTTCATTTAGAATGGAAGGACAGATAAAGTGCTTCTCAGGTAAGATCAAATTCAAGGAGTTCATCATCACCAAGCCCTTATTATATGAAATGTTAAAGGGACTTATTGAAGAAAAAGAAGTTAAAGAAACATGAACAGTGAAAGGACAACAAACTCACAGTTATTAACAACCACACCTAAAACAAAAGCAAACTAAAAGGGCAGCTAGATCAGGAGTGGAAACATAGAAATGAAGATCTCAAGAAGGGTTAGCAACAGGGGCGTGGGAGGAGGAGAAGGGGGGAGAGGGTACAGAAAATAAGTAGTATAGACAGTAGATAGAAA